GGCAGGCAATGTGTGTATATAAAACAATTATACAAGAAACAAGAAGCGGTCATGGATCTGAGAACAGTGAGGAAAGTCTTGGGGTGGAAAGGTGAGGTGAAATGATCTAAATACAGTGTACTCATGTATGAAAATCTAATTTAAAAATTTTTTAAGTAATTTGCATTTCATTTTGACAATGATTATGAATAATGTTTAAAGGATGATAAGAGGAAACAAAGGAATAAAATGAGGTCCAATGACCTTAGTTTTCTTCTTGTAGATCATTTTTATCATTTTTTCCATCTATTTATGCTGTGAGTTGATCTTGTTCTGCTGATCATCAGCTGGAGTTCTTGGTTCCTTCCCCAGTTCACAATAAAGTTTAAATTTCCACTTAAGTCAGATCAAAATGGCAGTTGCCAGGGTTGAGAAGCAATCTCTGCCTTGCTTCTTCAGTACTCACGGATGATAGCATTTTTTTTTTAGACCCCAAGCACTCAGAGTACTCTGATGTTCTTAGAAGTCTACATATGCCAAATATTTACTGTTTTCAAAAATTATTTTCCTACCTATTTTCTTTCTTTTGAATAAAACACTGATGTTTTGTATTAATGGGATTTCACTTTGCCTAGCAGTATTTCAAAGAAATCCAAAGGATAGTGAATGTGTTTTTAATACTTAATCACTCATTCATCCATCTCATAAAATATATGAAGCTACTTTGTAGGTACTGTGGAAGTGGTGGAATAGATGAGCTTACAAAGATCAACTTCAAAAACCCAGATGTGATTGTGAGGAAAGATTTCTAGATTGAATCTGAAAAAGTCATGGTACCATTTTGCAAGACATATTCAAATACCTGAATGTAAGAATACAATTTTAAGTTCTTTGAAAAACCCACAAGCCAATTAATGCGAAAAAGCTTGTAAATACAAATCTGAAATAGAAATATATGTTTACTTTTTGGTATATGAAAGTCAATCAATAATTTTGATATTACTACATAAAATAGAATGCTTTAGTGTTAAGGTAAAGAATTGTGGGTTCTCTGAAATAGATATTCAAGAAATAGAGTTACTAAAAGCAATAAAGTAATGTTAATCATTTTAAAGACATAGAAATCAATATAGATTGGTTTAAAATTAAACAAATATTCAGTAACAGTGTATTTTGATACATCTATCTACAAGAACAGGCATCATGACACAGTGGTTTAAAGTAGAGGAATGGGAATCTGATTGTCTGGCATGAAATCCAAAGACCAACACTAACTAGCTGTGAGATAATCTTTTTAGTAATTTTAGGCTATAGGATGGAAGACTGAGTAAAAGAAAGAGAAAATGTCATTAATTATAATGAGGAATATATTGTGTAAACAATAATGTTTGCCAAAATATTAGCATTGTGTGAAAATGTTTACATTTTATCTCATTAGAGTCACACATCGTCATTTAACAAACCAGAGCACTGGACCTCAGGAACTGTAGCCCATTTCCAAAACCCAAAGCTGTGCACACAACTGCTCATCCACATCCAACATTCAAGACATGATACAAACACAGTAAGAGTTATATTTGGCACGCACCTTTAATCCCAGCACTCGGGAGACAGAGGCAGGTGGATCTCAGTGAGTTCAAGGCCGGTCTGGTCTACATAGTGAGTTCCAGGCCAGCTTGGACTACAGGGAGACCCTGTCTCAAAAAGAGAGGGAATAAAAGGACTTATTTCCCTCCAACATCAGCTCCTTAGTGAGCCCTTCTCCTGGGATAACCTTTCCATCTACCTCAACAGGAAAGTTATCTGATGCCTCTCCTTTTTTCTCCCACATTCAAATGATGGTCTATGATCTAAATATTCCTCCAAGATCCCTCTGACCCACATCATTTCCACCTTTTTGACCATCACTCTCAGAGATCTTACTTGGAAGACTTTAAGTACTACTGCTCCTGGCCCATAGCTTTCTGTTATAATCTCTATCATGAAACCAGAACAGTTTTGTTCAAATTCACATTGAATTGCTGGTCTACTCAGAATATAATCCAAACACCTGGGGTAATTTAAGAGTGTATTTCTTCAATTCCATCTGTTTACTACTCTTATTCACTGTCTCACTTGAGTCACTTTGAGCTTCCTGAAGATGCCTAATACATCTCTCATTCACCACTCCAGCAGTTCTCTACATATTATTTTCTCTTTTCCCTACTTAAATTCAATTTAAACTTCCCCCAGGAATCATTCCCTGACCATCCCAATCCCCTTCTTGATCCTAAATTATCTTTCTTAGATTCATATACATTGTATTATATAAGAACATTTTTACATTGTGTTATAATTGAAAACTCTCGCTGCTCAGTGTTTACAGAAACTCCAAGAGATAAAGAAATCTGCCACTCCTGTTTATTACCGTTCAACCACAATTCCTGTGCCTAGCCTAGCATATAGCAGTTGCTCCGTATATGTATACGATATATCGTTCCTTAAGCAATAGTCTTTCTGTTAATAACTAACAATGCAGCAGGCAGATTTCTTCTATTAGACTACCCCTAAATGTTTTCTTTAGATTGTAATATAGGACATAATTCATTATTTCAGTGAATATTTGTCAAATGTCTAATTTCTTTGGTGTCACCAATAGATTGTGAACTATTGCATCTGAGACTATTTTTTACTTTCTTTGTTAACAAGTGGCATGGTTCATAACATTTCATAT